ACCACCGAAGCCCCAGCTGGAAAGGAGGAAGTGGGCGGAGGAACGACCGTGGAGCCCCCGGGGAAGGGATGAAGGACATGGGGGACCCCCAACAAGAGGGGGAAACGCCCGAGTCTTCCGCTGGCGTCATCTTGGAGGGATGACGTCATCACGAGGGGGATGACGTCATGTGCCCTCCAAGGACCGATTAGGGGGTCCACCTCAGACGCCGGGGTATTCTCAGGGAAGAACGATGCTGGTGTCACTCAGGGAGGAAGGGACGCCAGGGTCTCCTCACCCGCCTTCGGGCTCCGCGGCGCCGCCGCACTCTCGGCCTTCGGTTTCGAAGAGCGAAGCGCCCGGGCCTCTCATTGGCTGCTTTCTCGGCCAACGACAACCACGCCGGCCAATCGCAGCGCGGAGGAAAACCCTTCCCGCGCGACCTTGCCACGCCTCCCACCGGTGGTGCGCGTGCGCCGTTTCTTGGTCCTGCGGTAGCTTCCCCAGCCCCACGCTAGGGGGCGCACGAGGGCCCAGCTCCAGCTCCTTCCCCGACCTGTGCCCGTGACCTATTTATATTCTATATTAGTAGTCGCACTTGCTAGGGCTGTTCTGAGAAGTACGTGCAGTACCTGGCAGGCAGGAAGCGCCCGGTAAAGCTACTGTTACTTGCGTTTTACACAGAAGGAAGCCGAGCCACGTAGCAGCAGGTGCATACCCAGCTCAGATGAACCTCGCCGTTAACTTGGTAGTCACAACCAGAATCCAGGCGAGCTGAATCCAGTTCCGTGCTTATCAAACTCGCTTTTGTGCCTTCCAGATAACAAATCCCGGATGTTTTATAAATAACTTCCTTCTGAATATAAAAGCAATATATAGGCTATTTGCAAAAAAATTTTTTTCAGAAAATATCAAAGACTAAGGAATGGAAAACGCAGATCTCTCTAATCCTACCACGGGAGACACTATTAATATTTTGATAGACAAACTGCCTTTTCTATGCATATATTTTGTAAGCGTTTATTTTATTCATTTGAAAAGCAGAGTGAGAGGGAAGGGACAGAGAGAGGGATCTCTGTCCACTGGTTCACCACTCAAATGCCTGCAAGAGACAGAGTTGGGCCAAGCTGTAGCCAGGAGCCAGGAAACCCATCCGGGTCTCCCACGTGGGTGGCAGAGACCTAAGTACTCCAGCCACCACCTGCTGCCTCCCAGGGTGCCCAGGAGCAGGGAGCTGGATTGGAAGTGGGGAAGCCGGGACTTGAACCATCACGGGATGTGGGTGTTCTAGGCAGTGGCTTAACTCTCTGAGCCACAACGCCAGGCCTGGTTGTTAAGTTTCTCATAAACGTTGTGAGATCTTTGCAGGGAAGCCACGCGTGCCAGCCTTGAGCTGTGAATGTGTTTTGTTTACTCCAAAGATGGTTTAGGTTTTCATCATTTTCCGTCAGACGAAAACAGAGTATCTTATTTTAATTTGCACTTCCTGGTATCTTAAGGTTTTGTGCACATTTAGTATAAAAGCAGCGGGGCGGGTATGCTTTTTGAACAGGTGAAGAGAGATGGCCGCTTTGTTTCCGTGAAACAGCGCGATCCAACAGCGTGCAGAGCCCTCCGAGGGCCGAGGCACACAGCCTGCAAGTAGCTGGGGTCAAGGTCAGAGATCCCTGCCGACGGGGAGGACGGGGCCAGCCGTGCGGTGCACTGTGGTAAGCTGCGGTCTGCGACGCCCGCATCCCCTAGGAGCGCCAGTTCAAGTCCCACCTGCTCCACTTCCGACCCAGCTCCCTACTAACAGGACGGCAGCGGAAGATGGCCCAAGTGCCTGGGCCCTTCCACCCACGTGGGAGACCTGGATGGAGCTCCAGGCTCCTGGCTTTGGCCTGGCTGTTGTGGCCATTTGTGGGGTGAACCAGCAGATGACAGACTTCTCTCTCTGTCACTCTGCCTTTCAAATAAATAAATCTTTTTTTTTTTTTTTTTTGACAGGCAGAGTGGACAGTGAGAGAGACAGAGACAGAGATAAAGGTCTTCCTTTTGCCGTTGGTTCACCCTCCAATGGCCGCCGCACCGCGCTGATCCGATGGCAGGAGCCAGGTGCTTCTCCTGGTCTCCCATGGGGTGCAGGGCCCAAGCACTTGGGCCATCCTCCACTGCACTCCTTGGCCACAGCAGAGAGCTGGCCTGGAAGAGGGGCAACCGGGACAGAATCCAGTGCCCCAACCGGGACTAGAACCCGGTGTGCCGGCGCCGCAGGCGGAGGATTAGCCTAGTGAGCCGCGGCGCCAGCTCAAATAAATAACTCTTTAAAAAAAAAGTTCAGGCTCCACCCCTTCCCAGGTCTCCTTGCTTGCCCTAGGTCACCTTTGCCTGAGCTAAGACAACCCTCCTCCCCCACCCCCGCCAGGGAATCTTACAGGAGCCAGCAAATGGTCGCATGCCACCCTCGCCCCTCTGACCCCCATGCCCCGTGTGCGACTGTGTCCCGACACACAGAGGCGTTTGGGACACCCCACCTGCCCTCGCGCACTGGCAGGGGGACAGGGTGTGCGCCCCCCTGCAGGCTGGGGTCCGCCTTGCGGCCCTGACCCCCAGCCCAGTGCCCTTTCCCCCACCCTGCCTCCCTCGGCAACTCCCCGGGGGGGAGGGGGGGGGAGAACCGCTGTGTCTTCTCTTTGCTCCTTGCACAAAGTTCAGATTCCCTGGAAACTTCTACCTAGTTTTCCAGTCTGGCTTCTCCGCCCCGGGGCCTCCTGTAACCACTGTGAATCGGGCAGCCCCAGTCAGGCGGGCAAACCTCTCCGCACAACATTGCTAATAACTCCCTGGCTGAAGACCGCCAACAGCATGGTCTGGTGCAGTAGCCATTGGACACGTGCGCCAGAGGAAGACCTAAATTCTGGTGCCTGGGGCCCACGGTGGTGGAGCAGGTGCAGCCGCGGCCTGTGATGCCGGCATCTCCCATACCGGGGCTCCAATTCTGGCTGCTCTGCTTCCCACCCAGCTGCCTGCTAAAGCACTTGGGAGGCAGCAGGTGGCAGCCCAAGGACTTGGGTCCTCTGCCCACCCATGTGGGAGACCTGGGATCGAGTTCTAGGCTCTTGGTTTCAGCCAGGCCCTGCCCTGGCTATTGCAACTATTTCAGGAGTGAACCAGCTGCCTTTCAAAGAAATGAAAATAAATCCTAAAATAAATAAGCAAATTCTAATGCCTTGGAGGCAGGCCTTCGGCACAGCATTTAAGTCACTAGAATCCTGGCCAGCGTTGTGGCGTGGAAGGTTAATTCTCCGCCTGCGGCACCAGCATCCCATGTGGGCACTGGTTCAAGTCCAGGCAGCTCCACTTTCAATCCAGCTAATGGCCTGGGAAAAGCAGTGGAAGATGGCCCAAGTGCTTGGGCCCCTGCACCTGCGTGGGAGACCCGGATGGAGCTCCTGGCTCCTGGCTTCAGTTGGCCCAGTTCCAGCAGTTGAGGCCATTTGGGGAGTGAACCAGCGGATGGAAGACCTCTCTCTCTGAGAACTCTGCCTTGTAAGTAAACATTAAGAAACAGAATTACTTGTATGGTCTGAACTTCCACCTTGAACTCACATCCCAGGACCCGACCCAGGCTCGGGGGCTGCCTCTGCCTTCACTCTATCTAAATCCGCAACGCCTTCCACTCCCAAGTTTTCCACCTGCTTGGGGCAGGGTAGGGACAGAAACCCCCTCCCTCCACCCCGGCAGGAAGGCGCCCCATAGGCACAGCGGGGAATGAAGCCACACCAGCCAGAAACATCGGTGAAAGCCTCGGTTTAATTGGAGACAAGATCGAGGGATTGATTATCGATCAACGGACCGAGTGATCGTCAAAGTGGACGACACGCAAGCCACCCGCAGGTCCTGCTCCCACCCGGGGGAGAGGGCCCCCCGTCTGGGGGTGAGGACCCATCTCACCAGGAACCCCCGGCTCCAGCAAGGGGCAGGGGCAGGCTCTGACAACTTCCCGTCCCACCACCTCCGTGCGCCCGTGTCCCCAGGGCCACGCACAGTTTGTATAATACAGCAGGAGCGGGGGGGCTCTCCCTGCCAGAGACCCCCTCTCCCCCTTCCCGACGACATCCGCCAGGCAAGGGCAAGCTCATTTTCCCTTTTGTCCTCTGTAGAATAATTTACAAACCAACCTTACAGTATGTACAAAAAAAAAAAAAAAAAAAAAAACACAAGAAAATCGAACCAACAAAATAAAAAGGCCCACACTGGGACCGCAACTACTTCTGCTACAAAATGAACCTGGAAAGCATCATGGAAGGTGGGGGGTGAACGGACG